TAGCGATCCTCCTTGCGAATCTCGAGTTGGTGGTACCCTGACTTGAGATCCAACTTAGAGAAGAACCGGGCGCCGCCCAATCGCTCGAGAAGGTCATCAATGCGTGGGAGAGGGATGGCGTTCCTGATCGTCTGCGCGTTGAGCTTGCGATAATCGATGCACAACCGCAGGTCCTTGTTCTTCTTCCGGACGAAGAGAACAAGAGCACCGTATGGCGATGAGCTAGGCCGAATCCAGCCTTTCTCYAGAAGGTCGTCGAGTTGTGCCCGAAGCACACTTAACTCTTCCTCGCTCATTCGATAGATGCAACCGCGCGCAGGTATGGCCCCGTCCTCGAGGATGATCTCGTGGCGGATGGGTCGATCCGGTACTACTCCGTGCGGGCCTTTAAACACGTTGCTGTAGGCGTCGAGAAGTTCGGTGATGCGTGGATCCGAAGGTGAGTCCGTTGATGAAGCGTCACGTGGCGGGAGGGCGTGGAGAAAACACACCCCCATCTCCTCGATGTCGTCTCTGATGATGGAAGCTCGCATGCTTGCGGCGGATACCACGTGGCAGCTGATCGAAGGATGAGGAAGAGGCACCGTGCATGGAACTAGTACTCCGTTGCGGTCACGAACGTGAACACTGCGGTTGAAGAAGTTCACCGGGTGATCCTTGCTTCGCAGCCATGACATGCCCAAGATCATGTCGAATTGGGTGTCCAGAATGTCAAAGGACACCGCCTCACTTGCGTGAGGGGCAAAGTACACTGGGACGACGTCAATGCACCGGTCGATGGACTTGTGCGTATGACCGTCTGCCAGGGTGACTTGCGTAGGTTGGGACTTCCTCCGGACACGTGGGCCAAGGTCGGCGCGTACCATGAAGTCCTGGCTGATGTAGTTGCGAGATGCTTCACAATCGATCAAGGCACTGCAGGTCGCCTCTCCAATCTGAATGCGTATGTATAACAATGGTGCGTCGATGTCGTCGTACCATTGCGTCTTGAACTCGCGGTCGATCTTCGCGATGTACGCGAGAAGGTCGACAACCTCTGCTCCGGCGTCCATCAACGGAGCTGGTACTGCACTGTGCAAGTAGTCCCGCAATTGTGCCATAAGCACGTTGCAATGCGGTTTCGACAATCATCCGGTCGAGGGAACGGGCATCCACTGGAAGTCCGTGAACGTCAGCGGGTCGAGGTCATCAAGTCTTGACCATGACGTCGAATCCCCGGCGATAGATTGCGGCGAAGCTGCCGAATCGGTTGCCGATGGTGATGAAACCGTGCATGCGGTGGACTGTTGCACGTGGAGCGGTTCGTCTAGCGGTGGAACCAAGTGGACAGCATAATCCTCGTAAGTATACCRAGGACTTGCGRCATTCGCATCCTCCCSAGATRTGCAGGAGGCCGCTAGCAAGGCGGCCGAATCTGGCGGAGTAGAAGGCGGAGTCGCCTCACCTTCCGCGGAGCTCAGTTTCCCGAGCTGAGGCGGGGTCGCACATCCTCCTTGCCCTGATCTTGGCACAGGGAGGTCTTGTGCTTGGTGCTGTTGCACCAATAGCAGTTGCCGTAGCGGCGGCGGACCTTGTACTCCACCTCGGTCAAGCCAAACTTGACCCATGGAAACTGTCCTGGCTGTCCATTTCCGGCCTGCGATGCGGATTTTGCCTTCCCATTGTTGCGGGAATTGTTGGTGCTTCGCGGCTGGACAACAGCCACCTGATCTCCGTCACTTGATGCTGGAGTGGCTGCTGGGTTATCTCCACTGTCCTGCTGGACTGCAGCGAAGTGCTGCTGTCGCGGACCAGTTCGTACCTTCTCCACATAGGTCGGTTGCCATGATGTTGATTTCTCGTGTGTAGCTGACCTGTTGGTCTTGATGATCTCCCTCGCTTTGTCAATGATCTCCGCGAAGATTGAGTACTGCTCACGATCCCCAAGAGCCTAGCTCAATGCAGCACAGGACCTATTGTAGAACTCACGGCGTAGATGCTCGAATGGTAGATTCAGATTGGGCACAACCGCAATCTTCTGCCACTCCGTGAGCCAGTCCCGTGTTGCTGTGTTGCCCTGTGACATGGTGAACAGTCGGTTGAGGGCGAGTGTCGGCGCGTCGTCGACGATGAACCGCTTCTTCCACAGCCATGTCAGTTCCTCCCATGTGATTACGTCCTTCAAGTCTGGTACGTCGACGCCGTGGGAGGTTGCTAGGTGGGTCAACCAGGTCTGGCATCCGCCCTTTGAGTTCAGGAACAGGGCGCCGATGTACGCATGCTTGTCTACGGGCAGAATCCTGAGTTGCGTTGTGAATGCTTCCCACCAGAGGACCGGATCCTGCTGCGTGTAGTCGTCGAACTTCTCCAGAGTGAACGTTGACATCTTATACATCTTTGGATTGCCATTTGCGTTCGTCGTCTGCAGCTGCTGGACCTCGATCTTCAATGTATGCAGCTGACTGCTGATGGTGGTGGTCGGCGTAGCGAAAGTGCTGACGTCGCCCAGCATTGCCACTACGTGGTCAACGCGGTCCTCCAGTTGGCGGCTAGAGGGTGCACTGCTGGAAGCCCCAGCAGCTGGTCCTGGTACAGCCTGTTCCAGGTCCAACAATCGGGCATTGAGTGCCCGAGTTGCATCCTTGTGGCCCTGCACTGTGCGGCGGAGCGTCGCCAACTCCTGATGCTGTTGCGTCAGGTCCCGGTACTGTCTCTCCAACTCTGACCGTTGGTAGTTGCAAGCATACAACAACTGCGTCACGAGTTTGGAGAGGAACTCCTTGTGCTTCTCTTCCGGTGTTGCCTCGTCGCCGTTCGGTTCAAAATGCCAGTACTTGAGTCTGTCGATGCTGTTGGCTTCATGCAGCTGCAGCAGATCCTGGGCTTCCTTGCGGCGAGCCTGGGCATCTGCGTCTGCATCGGCCTGTAGCCGCAGCTGTTCTGCTTCTGCTGCCTCTTCCGCCTGTACGCGGGCAGCCTCGACTGCCAGCAGGCGTTGTTCCTCAGCCTCTAACTGAGCCAGGCAACGCTGCTTGTAGGCGGCAATGGTCTCATTGGCCAGTTGGCCTGGCAGGCCCGTCATGTTGCTGACATGGCACTGCTGACGTGGCACTGTGTCTGACGTGGTACTGCTGACGTGGCACTGTGTCTGACGTGGTACTGCTGACGTGGCACTGCTGACGTGGCACCGTGTCGGACGTCACTGCTGACGTGGCACTGTGTCTGACGTGGCACTGCTGTTGTGGCACTATGTTTGACGTGGCAATGTGACCTGGCACTGCTGACGTGGCACTGCTGATCTGGCACTGTGACATAGCACTGCTGATGTGGCACTGCTGACGTGGCACTGCTGATCTGGCACTGTGACGTGGCACTGCTGACGTGGCGCTGTACCGAAACGGGATGCATGCAAGGGGTGGGTGGGAGGGAAAATGGAGGGAGGTAACCAACCCAACAATACTTTCCTCCGGCCCTAATCAACAGATAAAATAAAAAATTAAAAGAGGACTACTTCCTTTTTTCTTTTTTTTTTTTGTATATATCTGTCGATTTATGATGAGTAGGATATGTCAGAAGAGTATTATGAGCGAGATCTAGGCTAGGTGCCGCAAACTTTCGGCTTTTACAAACTGCGATTTTGAAAAAAAAAAATTTGCGAAATGGAGTAAAGATGCGATTTTCAGAAAGAACGAAATCCAGTTTTTGAGAATATAGCAACCTCCGAATATGCCTAACGCAATATTGGTAGGCTTCGCGAGATTCGGTTTTCAAAAAAAAATGTGCGAGATAGAATGGAAATGCGATTTTCAGAAAAGAATAATGTCAGTTTCGGAGAATATGACCACTTCTATCGTTATCCCAATATGCCTAGAGAACGAAAATACTAACTTCAGAAATTTCAGCTATGTCTGCGAAATATCAGAGAAACGAAATGCTACTATCGGGAATTTTCAGACAAAACGAAATGCGATTTATCAGAAATTTTCAGATATTTGTCACGTAAAAACGAACTACTAATATCAGAAATTTTCAGATAGAACGAAAATGCGAATATCAGAAATTTCAGATAGTTGTTGAGAGAAATTTGTGTTTTCAGAGATTTGACTAAGTCCTACTTGCGTTACTAATGAGTGATCAATAGATCGCAAGCTGGCTACTTGATTTAGCGGGTCCTCTGAATGAGAGGTCCGCTCCGATACCAAACTGTTGCATACTGTAACGTGCAGACCAGAACAAGAACCGACCTTTCAATACAAAGTATAAGATAGCACAACGGAAGACTTAGATACCAGTGATCCGAACAATCAATGTTGAAATGCAGCCCTGAACATACATCATCATCATCATTACATGGTGTGAAATGGGCCTGGCGCTTCACACAGGAAGACTGCGCCAGCCCATACCATACACAGACGAAGAGGAAGGGGATAGACGAAGAGGAGGGGGAAGATGGGAAGGTCGTCAACACCAAGTCTTCGACACAAGCCCAAATAGTCCCTCGTCGGAATGTCTGAATCCCAAATGTCAAGTCTGGATCCAATGTCGTCAAGTCTCAAG